GCGCAGCGGCCGGCGTCGGCAGTGCAGGGGCTCGTGCGCCGGAGGTTGCCGGCGCCACGGGTGCGGCAGCAGAGCCAGCTGGTGGTGCCGCTGCAAAGGGCGCTGCCGTTGCGGCGGGCTCAGGGGCGGCCTGGCATGCATTTACAGGCAGCAGCAGCGGCACGGCAGCGGCGGGCCCCGCGGAAGCTGGAAAGTCGGGCACTGTGGGGGCTCTGCTGGACCGGGAGGCGGCCGCGCGGCGGGGGCGAGACGGTGCGGCGCAGCAACCCAATGCACAGCGGCGCCGGGAGCCGCCTCAGCAGCAGCAGCAGCAGCAGCAGCAGCAGCAGCAGCAGGGCCAGCTGCCTGTGGCCAGCAAGGCAGGCGTCCAGCCCGACCAGCAGCCCGGCGCCGGCGGCCGCTACCGCGAGCTCGTCGCGCGCTGCGCCCGCGTGGCCGCCTTGCAGCGGATGCAGGCGTGCCTGCGCGCGGCGGCGGAGGGGTGGGAGTACCCTGCAGAGGGGCAGCCGCTCATCGAGCCAACCCACGAGGGCGCATGGCCAGGCGATGCAGGCGCCGGCACCGGCGCGCACGCGCCTGTTGCGGTCGCGGTGGCGAAGCGCGAGCGGCTGGCGGCGCTGCGCGTGGTGTTCCACGCGAGCCAGGGCGTGCTGGCGGGGCGGCGCGGTGGGGGCACGGCGGCGGCCGAGGTTGTGATCGTGATCTGCGTGGTTACGCTGTGCTGCGCGTATGTGAGCAGGAACAGGCGGCTGCCCCTGCCCTTGCCATGGCGGCTGCTGGCGCGGCTGTCGCTGCGGTTTGGGGGCAAGAAATTCCACAGAATAGACTAGCCTCCTGATAGCGGGGTACACATAGGCATCCCGACAAACCTGCAACGGCGTGTAAAGTCGCTAGCAGCTCTTGCCGACCCTGACTCCGGATGGTGGCCCTCATTGTTCCCAGCTGCATGCGTGACCTGGCGCGAGCGAGCAGCACAGCATTGCCAATTGTCGGTTCATGAAGCCTGGGCCGATGTTATATAACGGAGGCCTTGTATCAAGTTTCAGCCCCATGCCAGGGGCATCCACTGACGTACTGCCCCCACGCCAATGGCCGTGCATCTTCTTGGCCGTCAGCACCAGCTGAAAGGGTCTCATGGGTGCCATTGGGATGGTGGGTACACTGTGCGCACCGCCGGCGCGCGCCCCATGCAACGAGTTGACCCATCTCGAGCTGCACCATGGCGTTTGTGCTGGTTTCAATTGGTGCTTGGAAAGTGGGCACGCTCATGACTTGCAGACGCATTAACAGGTCAATTGCTTTACAATTGAGCTAGTAAACGGGCCCTAGCTGCACCTGAACGCGAGATCGAACATCCAGACTGCGATGCGCTCTGCTCTTTGTACTTTCACGAGCTCGACGCGTGTCTGCCACTTTCTCGGCGCGCCTTGCCTGCACGCGCGACCGCCCCGCGGCGCAGCGCGAAGTGGCCGGCGCAGCAGCTGCAGCGCGGGTGCGGGTGCCGCTGCATCTAGCAGTGCACATCGGCGTATGGCAAGCGCAGCAGCAGCCACGGCAACCAATACGCCATTCAGCAGTGGCGAGCAGCAGAGGGACGAGGCTGACCCCATAGTGCAATGGGTGGTGCTTCGTCGGGACCTGTGGGGCGACCAGGGCTGGCCGCTGGGCCCAGTGATTGCACAGGCGTGCCACGCGTCGGCCGCGGCGCTGCTGCTGCACCTTGAAGACGACCAGACACGTGCCTACGTGGCGCCTGATGCCATCGACCACATGCACAAGGTGCGGCTGCACGGATGCCTGCCCATCGGCCGCCAGGAACGAGCATTGGATGTCATCCAGGGGGTGGGTCAATGCAGTCGTGCAGGCTGCACCGAGAACCCATCGAAGAGTTGACCTCTACAACATATCCGCATGGTATCAAAATCACCAGACACCAACCACTGCTATTGCAGGTGGTGCTAGAGGTCAAGGGGGAGGTGCAGTTGCTCAATCTAAGCGAGAAGCTGGGAGCGGCCGGCATCAGCCACAAGCTCTGGGTGGAGCAGCCCGAGAACTTCCCAACCTGCCTGGCCACAAAGCCGTACCGGCGATCCGAGGCGGGGCAGCATTTCAAGAAGCTGCAGCTCTGCAAGGCGGCGCTGGGACAGAAACCGACGGCGGGGGCGGTCGGCGCCACGTGAGGGGTAATGTTATCTGGGATCATGCACGGGCGTGGCAATGCCATGCTTGACAGTCACATGCACGACAGATGAAGCTTCTGCACATTAAAATTCTAGCGCTGTGCTTTGCGACATGGCAGCACGCGCCCTGGCAAGGCGCGGCGCAGCTGCTTTGTGAGCACAATGTACGACGGCTCTGGCGGCAGTGCTCGCCATGCCAACTCCTGGCACAGCAAATTGACATGTACGTCGAGCAATCATCCAACCGGCTCTTGGATATTCTGCAGTACGGCGCACCAATTCTTATGCAAATGGCACAGAGCACACCGAAGCAGGTCCGCTGCAGGCCCAACCCAGACACTGGCAGGTGACGCAATGCGCAGGATGGAGACTGGCTGCAGTGGCTGGTAGAGTACAATGTGTGTTAGGTGCACTTAGGTAGTCGGGTGACTGTGATAGATGGGCTCTCTGTGGTGTGATGAGGGAAGCAGGAAAGTTGCGTCCGCCAGTTCCACATTCCTGGATAAGGCGGACGATTTTGAAACTTGAGCGGCACTCATACCCGGACTCGAGTGCAACGAATCTGATGCAGGGATTGATTTCCGCGCTTATTTTCCAAATCGAAAATTGTAGCGTCTCTGCACACTGACACAGATCATTACTGGCGCGAAACTCGTAGCGGGTGACTGTGGCGGTGCTAGCGGTGCTGTGATTGGTGTGAATATTTTGCTGTGTGGATAGCAACCTCATCACATCATCCATGGCGTTCGACGGTGCGATCTTGGAGGCGGGGGGGAACCATTTGCCACGACGCATCGTCTAGACCGCTCGCGGCGGGCGCTTGTCGTTCGAAAATTTCTCCACATTCGATACAAGCAGCATCAGCACGCATGTATAGGCCCCGACATGGCTCGCACCTGCCGCCTTGGCGCTTGTGCATTTGCGCAAGCATCCAGCGCCCTGCCAGGCCTCCGCCCACCCGCACAAGCCTCAAATCACGTGCCCCCCCGCCGCCGTGGCCCCCCACAGAGGGCCGCGTGTACACCAGCTATGGCGACGACGACATGCTCGGCGGCGGCGACGAGGCCGGCGGGCGCCGCGACCCCGGGCGGGTGGTGCGGGCGTTCAAAGAGTTTATCAAGACCCACTTCACCCACGACCGCCGCGAGGTCGAGGACCCCCTCCTCTACAGGTGAGGCGACCCCACTCTGATCTGCACGCAGAGCAGCCTGCGCAACGGCGCGCCGGGGCCGCACGGCGGGAAGACCCCACTGGATCCGCCGCGCCTGCTGCCGCGACACACAACGCGGGTGCGCCGCGTCGCGTGCGCAACTCGCCCCTCCCCGCAGGCAGTCGCTGAACAAGGACCCGAGCAGCCTGCTGGTGGACCTGGTGCACGTGCGGCTGCACGACGCGGCGCTGGGCGCCGACCTGGAGGCGCGCCCCGCGGAGCTGCTGCCGCTGGTGCGGGCGACGCGGGGGGCCGGCGCGGCGGCGCACGCTGCGAGGCAGGGGGCGGGGCGGAAGGGGGAGGGACCGAGGAGCCGATGAGATGCCAGAGGGCAGACGGCCGGTGGGCTGCAGGGCGAGCGGCTCCGCGCACAACGCTGCGACGTGTTGCATCGTGGCAGCGCCGCACACCTCCTTCGAACCCGCGCGCGCCCCTCGCCCCTGCCGTCCTCCGTATTGTTGCCGCCCAGTTTGAGCGGGCGTGCAAGGAGGTTCTGCGGGAGGACCACCAGCTGGGGCCGGACGGGGAGCAGAGGGAGTTTGCTGACGTGCAGGTGCGGTGGCTGGAGGGTGACAGCTGGAGGGTGACAGCAGACGCGAGGGGCGCAGCGGGGGCCTGTGGGGCGTCTTGGCGCTGACGGGGGCAGGCGAACCACCGGCGGCCGCACGGGGGCCGGGCGTGGCCAGGCGGCGGGCGGGCGGTCTGGCGCCGGGCGCAGCGGCGCGACGCGGCGGGCCGCGTCGGGATCACCGTTTTTGGCCTGATGGGATCTTTCTACGAACCAGAACCAGAGCCCCAGGGGACCCCGCTCTCTCAAACCTTTCTCCCCCCTCCCCCCAATCGCACTGCCCAGGTGATGCTGTACAGCAGCGAGGCCTTTGGGCCAGGCGGCGTGCGCGACCTGTCGAGCGAGCGCGTGACTAAGCTGGTGCAGCTGCCCGGCATCGTCACCAGCGCCGCGAAGCCCAAGGTAGGGCTGACAGCCGTGGCAGTGCGGGGCGCAAGATGCCTGGCAGCGGATAATTCTGGCCTCCCACCGCTCCGGACTCGGGCGGAACCCCAACCCAGGGGGCCCCGCACAGCCTCTGGTAATGCCAGGGGGCAAGGAGGAACGCACGCGTCATGCAGTCGCCCCTCACATACCCTGTGCCGTTCACATGCGAACCCCCTGGGTAAACTCCTAACCCCCAACCGTAAACTAGGCGGGCTGCCCTAAACCTTAATCCCCACCCACGGCTCAATCAATCTGCCGCAGCACAAGGCCACGTACATCAAGGTGCAGTGCAAGGAGTGCCGCGCGGTGGAGACGGTCCCCTGCCGCCCCGGCCTCGGCGGCGCGCTCATCCCCAAGCAGTGCATGGCGCAGGTGACCGGGCCGGCGGCGGGGGCGAGGGGGGGGGGCTGACCCACGCACACACGCAGCTCCCAGCTTCACCCTCAGGGGGAACCTCGCCAACGCACCTGCTAGGGGTCTTTGCTCTCTGAAGTGCATGCGCCTGCCATCCCGAGCTGCCTCAGACCCCTACTCGCCCCGCCCGCCATATCCACCCCAAGTTTGGTCAACCAAACCATTTGCGGCGCTGCTGTCTAATCCGACCATCCCCCCCCTCCCCTCCCCGCCCAGGCCGGCGGCGGCGGCCCCAACGGCAAGTGCGCATACAACAGCTTTGTTGTGCTGGGGGACAGGTCAAAGTTTGTTGACCAGCAGACGCTCAAGCTGCAGGTGGGTTGCTGGGCACGTGGCCTGGGGAGATGGGTGTGAGAGGGTGGTGGGGTGCGTTGCGCAGGGCAGTTGTGGTGTGCGGCGTGTGCGCTTTCCGGGGAGCAGGGGTGAACGAGTTAGGTGTGGCCGGGCCAGGATGGCGACGCCTTTGCCTATGCTGCGCAGCTGAGCACCCTCCCGTCCAGCAGACCACCCACTTGACCCGTGCGCGGGCTTCCACCACCGCAAGCCCTGTACCTGACTGCACACGCATGTGCGCGCGCACATACACACACACACACACACACACACACATATACACACACGTGCACACGCGCATGCTTGCACACATGCACACTCACTCACAACCGCACGTACGCGTCCTTGCCGACCCCGCAGGAGCGCCCCGAGGACGTGCCCACGGGGGAGCTGCCGCGCACGCTGCTGATGGTGGCGGACCGCCACCTGGTGGGGCGCGTCAGCCCGGGGACGCGCGTGAGGGTCACCGGCATCTACTGCACCCACAGGAGCCAGGTGGGAGCTTGCGGGGCAAGAGGGAGGCTTGTTTATTGGATCATGTGTGTGTGTGTGTGTGTGTGTGTGTGTGCGTGCGCGTGCGTGCAGGCATGCACTTGTGGAAGGATGCCATTCGCGTGTGTGCTGTAGGCATTTGTGTGGGGGCAAAACGAATGGTGAGGCCGCGTGTGCGCCTTGCACACCGGCTGCCAGGGATCAAGGGCAGCCAACAACCCGTGCGGCGCTGTGTGTCCCTTCCTGGGCCGCCTGGCAACCACTCGGCCCTCCTGCGTCCCCACACACGCCCCCGCGACACTCTTCCTGCCCACACACCAAAGAGCCCACCCAGCTGCTGACAACCCACCCCCTGCACACCCCGTGTTCAACCCTCCACCCCTGACCACCCCCCCAAGGCCATGGACAAGGGGTCATCCTTCAGCCTGCAGCAGCCCTACCTGCGTGTGGTGGGGCTGCAGGAGGAGTCTGACGCACACAAGGACGAGGCCTTCAGGTGGGGAGGGGGGTTGCACGAGTGTGTGGGTGCGTGGATGATCGTGGGTGGCTGTGGGTGGGGGTGGGT